ATAGTTTCATAGAGAATCGTGAACGCACAAGCTTATTCAATTGGATTTAACTTGTATACACGGTCAAGTTAATGTCACATTGGTGATGTCAAAGAAAATTATACACGGTTAGTAACTCGAAGTTAACTTTACATATTAACTAGGCCTAGTTTAGAGTGAGTAGACACTGGATTGACACCTAGTAAGAGTGAGTTCCTGAGAAAAGCTAAGGCATCTAATTAAAACTTGAGCACGTGAAGAAAGACTATAAAGATAATAAATGGGCTTTTTTTATTAGATTTTTTCATCTTGTGGATATTCTATTAGTTTCTTGGAATGGCAAGCTGCAAGCATGAGTTCCTTTAACCCTTAATTGGGAGTCGCTCGGATTTCAGGTTGGTGCTGTGCTGTTGGAAAGAAGTGAATATCCAGAACGAATAGGAGAGCCTACATGCCAGGTAACTCTATTTCTCATCCCGAGATTGTTTGTGTTTGATCAAGTATGTGAGTCCTTCATTTCTGTTTTTTCTTTTCATTCTGTGGATAACAGATTGATTTAGTGTGTGATGAATGTATAATTTCTATTTGCAGTACTATCTAAGAACAGCGACCTGTAAATTTGGTGCATCATGCAAGTTCCACCATCCAAGAAACTTAGGTGGATCGTTGAGCAATATATCATTAAATGTTTATGGATACCCATTACATCCGGTAATTGATCTGTTGCCTTGCATCATATATGTATGCATTTGTGTTCTCTATCGATAAGTTTATCTAAGATCTCTTGAACTTCATCAATTGCAACAGGAGGAAAGAGAATGCTCCTATTATTTGAAAACGGGGCAATGCAAATTTGGTATAACATGTAAATTCCATCACCCTGACCATACTGAGGTATCAGCGCCAGCAACTGCACGTCCATTTTATCCGACAGCATCTTCTCTTCCTACTCCCCCTGAAGAATATAACAGTGCATCAACTAGCTCTAGAGTAGCAAGGCCTCAACTCTTATCTGGTCCTTATGTACCTGGTACTTATGGTCCAGTTTTGCTTCACCCGGGAGTGGTGACCATTCAGAACTGGAGCACTTACTCGGTAATGATAGAGATATTCTCTCAATCAATAATCTGATATGACTTAAATAATAATCTTATGGGGTGATTAAGTTGCTTTTTGCAGGGACCAGTGAGTCCTGCTCTATCTCCTGGTGCTCAACCCTCTGCTGGGATGGCATCTATTTATGGGATGCCGCAACTAGCATCTTCTACGGCTGCCTTTACAGCACCTTACTCTCCGTTACACTCTGCTGCTGGCCCTTCAAGCAGTGCACTGAAAGAAAATCGTTTTCCAGAAAGACCAGGCCAACCAGTATGTCAATATTACATGAAAACTGGGGACTGTAAATTTGGATCGTCCTGTAAGTTTCATCATCCTGCTGACTGGATTGCATCAAAGACAGATTGTGCTTTCAGTCCCTTAGGCCTTCCTTTGCGTCCGGTATGACTAACATCTTTCTTTCTCCCTTTTGTTTGACTTCGCATCACTAATTTATAATCCAATGTGGATAATCTGTGATGGGTATTGTTGTTTATCTGGTCCTGCCTAAAACTGAGATCATGTCAAGCCTTCTTATGCTGCTGGATGCATTGTGATTAGGAAGATTTTGTATGCGTGCCGTTCTTTGCCTGCCTTCTGCTTGGTTGTAACCGAATTCAAGAAGTATTATTTTATTGAATCTATATTCACGGTTCTTATTGGAGCTATGGAGATACTTGCCTACTGCATGCTCTGTGCCATGTAGAGAAACTGCAAAAGGGCAGTCTGACTTCTCTTATCTGTTCTACACCAGTTGCTCTTGCATTTGAAATTATAGCTGGTCCCTATGACTTATTAGGCTGCTGCTATTATCAGTCCCAAAAAATGAAAACATAAAATGTTACAATTTGAAAATGTCACGATATCTAGTGCTAATGCCTGTCCCCACAGATTTCAAACAGTTGAAATTTCGCAATTGTCTAATTTTTCAAATGCCAAAATGATGGCAGCATATCTTCTAACTTCAGAACATATAACTACACTAGAGATGTCAGTCTCCTTTGATTGTTCCAGTATAAACAAGCATGCTTGTTATCATCTTAAATCTGATACAAGAATACTTCTTTCTCTTTCTTTATTGGAAGAAGTGTAAATCTCTCTCCTTCCTTTCATTTTCTTTTTTATTATGCGTGTAGTTTCTAGTACACTCGCCTGCCTGTATAACTATTAAAAGGATTACTGTGTTGTTTTTCTTTGGATTATGAACGCAGGCTTCAAAGGTTTCATATAGATGTACATTTTATGCATTTCTTATCTCCTCAGTTTTTCTTTGGATTATGAACGCAGGCTTCAAAGGTTTCATATAGGTGTACATTTTATGCATTTCTTATCTCCTCCTTAGTCTAGCTGAGCTTCAACATATCTGAACCTTTTTGGACACTTTTACATAACTTATTTGAGCTAGGAGAGAGCATCTTGTTATATGATCTTTCTTGAGTCTGATAGTATTGCTGTGTGTGTAACTCGTTATCTGTTTGGATACTCAACTAAATTTCATTCTGAAAGCAGGGGGTGCAGCCTTGTTCCTTTTACATGCAAAGAGGATTCTGCAAATTCGGTGGCACATGTAAATTCGATCATCCTATGGGAACAGTACGATATAGTCCATCAGCTTCTTCTCTTCCTGATATACCGAATGCTCCTTACATGTCGGGATCTTCCCTTACTTTGGCTCCTATTTCATCGCCAGAGTAACAACCCGGATTTGTTACAGGATCCAAGGCGGATCCCTTCTCATAGTGCAGCATCTGGTACTTCTTCAATCCCGAATATGCAACTGTCGAGTCGGGGAAGTTGGCCAGTGAAGTTAATGTAAACATCAAGCCTTATTTAATGCTTTCCTGGTAATTTCTGTATATTTATCATCAATAAATAGCTTAATGTTATCTTCTTTAAATTGAAGTATCTCTTCATTGTCTCATTTTATCAATGGTATGAAGTTGCAACTTATCCAAAAATAGGAATGTGTCAATATTTGGACCAATTGGGTTGAGGTCCTGCGTAAACGCGGGATGCTTTCTGCACCTTTCTTTGTAGAGAAAGAGATGAAACAAATTAAGATGCATCTCTATCACCACAAAATACTCTTTGTTTTTCCAATCATTCGGTCGTTCCCTTGTTTCTGATCTATATAAATCTCTCTTATTTTCTTTAGAACTAAGGGGTCGTTTGGTATAGTGTATTAGTAAAAATAATGCATGTGTATTAGTAGAAATAATGCATGTGTATTAGTAAAAATAATGCATGTGTATTAGTAATACCTTGTTGGTACACTTTTTCATGTTATGTATAACTAAATTAGTTATACACTATTGTGTATTAAGGGTGTGTTTTACTAAAACAATTGATTTCTTGGTATTACTAATACAAAAGATTTTAATGCATGCATTAGCATGGTTTAACACTTTATTATCCCTCAATTTAAAAAAAATATTTTTTCCATCATAATTGGGAAAGGTATCTTTGTAAATAAAATAGTTTTATGCAATGCATGCTATTTTTAATACACCAAAGCATAAGAAATAATCTATGTATAACTAATATAATCATTACTAATGTAATAATAAGTATATCGATTCAACTACATGATTTATGCATATCTATAATACTTTGCCTCCCCTTGTTCAATTGCATCACTACATAACGATATTCTTTGTTTTTGTGTCCCATACGGTTCTCATAATTCTTATGGTTTGTTTTGATATTCGATAGGAATAATAAAAAGAAATATAATAGAGTAGAAGAATTACTCAACTTGGTTAAAATTGAGACACATCCCTTGTGAACAAAGTTACTGGAAGTCCAACTGACTAATTTCTAGCATTGGTCCTTAGAAATATTTTCCACCATTAAGTTTTAATATATATATAGAGAGAGAGAACATTATATTTTTTTTCTTTATTCGATATTCCTATACATCTCTTGTACCAGTAGCATCGTCTTTACACATCATTAAAGTTTTGAAAAAAAATCTATATATTGCGTACTGTATTAGTTTCTAGATTTCCAAAATTAAAAGTACTTTAATTTTCCCACTAAACAAAGAATTTTTCATGAAAAAAGATCAAGGAATAATATCTTTGCCTATAATATATTAGCAATTAATAAGTTGTAGGAATTCTACAGGAGTCTGCTATTATCGTTATGGTCTAATATCAACTTTTCATAGCATTAAAGGGTCAAAATCTAGAAGAATTTAGTTTAATTTACACTCAAAATAGAAATATATTTTACTCTATATGAGTGCATTTTAATTTGTTGTAATTGGTAACATATAAATGGAAGTACATACATTGTAATTGTCTTTTACATGATCTGGATTCAAACACACGGTCTCAACTAGGTATTTTCACTAAAGAAATTAAAAAAATATATAAAAAATATATACATAAATATGCTAAGGGAATTCAACATATAGTATATATATACATAAAAAAGAAATTGACGTTTCCGCATGGTGTAACTTTCAGATGAAGAGATATCAATTGACTCCCCTTCGACAAACCCTACTTAAGAAAATTCAAATAAAGACATACACGTTCTATAGCTAAACAACAAAATTTGTCGCTTTTGGCAACAAATTATGAAAAAATTCAGGTTATATACGAAATATTTAGCTACAAATTAGCGATGAATTTCATATAGACATTTTTTTTCTTTCTAACTTTTCTTTCCTTTATCCAAAGGAAAAATATCTTTAAGGAACATTGCCTTTTCATTTGTGTATCATTTTTTTTTTTTTTGCCTTTTCTGGATAAACAAATGTAATCCATATCTACTATATCTAAAATCTCTATAAATAACCAATATATGAAACCTCAAATATCATCACAATCTACCACACAAAGTTTATAATAACACTAGTGATCATCAATCAATATTCTTCATAATTTTCTCCGATTTTTCGTTCGTATATATCTATATAAGTTTGGTCATACGTATCCATTAATTATTTGTATCGATCGATATAGAGCTAGCTATGGATAGAATAGGTGACTTGGCATCAAAGAAGGCAGCAGTAATATTCACAAAGAGTTCATGTTTTATGTGTCATAGTATTAAAGCACTATTTTATGATATTGGAGCAAGTCCAGCAATTCATGAACTTGATGAAGATCCAAAAGGGAAAGAAATGGAGTGGGCATTGAGAAGTTTAGGTTGTAATCCATGTGTTCCTGCTGTTTTTATTGGTGGAAAATATGTTGGATCATCTAAGGATATTATATCCTTACAAGTTGATGGTTCACTCAAACAAATGCTCATTGATGCCAAAGCTATTTGGTTATAACTAAAAAAAAATACACTACTAGAAATCAATCAATTATTTTTGATCGCGTTCCGATCGAAAACTGTCAAAAAAGCACCCGTCTGAGATGTTTTTATCGATGGGAATTTTGTCGAAAATCATCGGAAAAGCACTCGAGATGTTTCTGACGGTGTTTCGATCGGAAAAGCACTCGAGTGAGATGTTTACTATAGGAAAAGTGTGAATTACATGGGGATTTTCTTAGGGATTAGTATGAAAATTCGTAGGAAACTTATTTTCCTGCAATTTTTCATATTAATCCCCAGGAAAATTCCCATGTAATTTAACCTTTTCTTGTATTAATTATATTCCGACGGATTTTTCGTCAGGAATTTGGTCGGGAAAAACCGCCGGAAAAGCACTTTCCGATGGTGTTCCGATAAAAAAACACACTCGATTCATGAGATGTTTCCGACGGCGTTCCGATTGAAAAGCACACTCGATTGAGATATTTTCGACGGACTTTTAATCGGGAATTCTGTCAGAAAATCGTTGAAAAAGCACTCGCATGAGATGTTTCCGACATACATTTCATCGAAAATTCGGTTAGAGTTTGACGGGTTGTAAGTCGGAAATTGATTGATTTCTAATAGTGAAAAAAAGAAAGAAGAAAAAGAATAATCCAGTGCACTAAGTTTTCACGGTGGGTAGGTTCGAAAAAGGGCCGGACCAAATTAGGTTTATTGCAAGTTTTTGTACTAAAACAACATCTAGGTTCTTAGCTTGTACACAATTTTTTTTTGTGTGTCAATTTTAACCCAATGTTTTTATTTTCCTTTCTAATTAATCCTCTTTTTCCTTTAGAAGGAATGGAGGTTGAGGGAGAAAAGGAAGCCATACTTTGTCAAAATGGCCGATAATGGAAAACTTTTCTCCGACTTGTAAAATTTTGTTTGAGACTGAAACATAGTAATAATTGTTGTTGTTGTATATGTTCTCAAGCTATTATTTTCCTTTTTGATGTGACAATTTGAATTCGAATAGAGGCGGATGTACAATGTATTCTGATATAGATTTGGAAGAACTTAGTATATGTGAAAGAATTCACCAAACGTACATGTATAATAAATTGCGATCAAACCCTATGGATTGTGGGTTCAGTGACAAACAAGAAATTGTGAGAATTCATAAACTCAAAATTCTAAATTCACTTTTGAATTTAAATATCACATACTTAACCGTATCTATTCAAAAGAAACATATTATACATATAGCTTATAAAATTTTATATTTTGCCAATTTCGACTTGTTTGAATTATCTTCTTTATCAATTACTATGATTTGAGATGCGATTCATATACTATAAGGATATTCAATTAAATTTTACCTATTAAATCACTTGTCACAAAGCCTCCTATACCATAATTTTTAATCAATTTGCATGGAAGAGTGCCAAAAGAGTCATGAATAATCATTGGTTCGATACAAGGAAAATCAATTTTCGAAGTGTGATGGACCGTGCATATAGGGCCCAAGACATTTACTACAACATGTTTGATATATGATTACTGGCGATTCCAACTTCATATCCTTGAGTTGCAAAGAATCATTTGAACTTAGACTGACCATCTTTCTTATTATATGCATAAGTTACTCATCAAAAACTTTAGTACGTATTGAAGTTCCAACATGAAATAAAATTTTATTTTCAAAAGCTTGCAGGTTATTATATGATTTTAAAAAGACACATTTCTTTTATTATTCATGTTAAATATTTTGAAAAGCCAAAACCTCTTATTTCGAGCCTTAGAAAAACTATGACTAATTAGTCAATAATCGTATGATTGCTCCTTTCCTTACAGTCAAGTGACTCGAATCACTCTCCTTCAAATCAATTATTTCGGATTGAAGAGTACATATTGACCTTATGACTGCTAATTGAGGCCTAAGACAGTTAACTATATTAATTAAGCATATTAACTTATAATCTATGTAAGAGAAGACATGAGTCACAACGTAATTAAGTAACAATAGCACAAAAATAAGCGACATACATTCACAAAGGTGACCACATTCATGAGGCTTAAGACAAAGAGCATCCAAAATCGCTTACAAGACAATAAACGTGAATGAATATCATGTGTGAAAAGAATTGACACATACTAAATAAAAAACAAAATTTATAAATTCTAAATTCTGAGTTCGTTACTACTCAAAGGAATATAATATCTTATCTTTTCCTCCGGATAGTGAGGAAAAGAATATAAAGAAATAGCCATGAGAAAAACTTAGTTATCACCTTGGTTGGAATCAAAACTAAAGATGGACAAGAACTTGACATATACATTTATATATTCGATCCCTCAACGATCACTTTAGTAAAGTGACCATAAAAATATTTATGCAGCACACACTAAGATGGAGAGATGGGGCGTAGCTACGTATGTCGAAGATAATCAGTTGAACACTCTTATATACAGGTAAAATATTTTAAATGTTAATTTTTTATATGTATATATTTACTTTAATATTTAAATACTCTTGAACACCTTTAAGAAAGTTTTTTAGAGGGAATGTTTAAACTAGAAATTGGAGGGGGCGATCACGGCTGGATCTGAGAAGGGGCAAGGGTGTTATCCCGAATCCCTCAACAAAAAATTACATTATATATATATAAAGTTTTTTATTTTTTTATTTTTAACATATATATATATTTTGAATCCCCTAAAATCCAGACTAGAGATTGACACAGTGATTTAGGAGGTTCAAAATTCACTTTGATGTTCAAATCCTATATATTAAAGATCTATTTTTTTAAAACTCTTCGTGAAAATTTTAAATTCGTCATTGTGCCTTACACGTACACTACTAGGGGTATGTACAAGTGTACGGCCATTGATCAAATTTTGTGTGTGTGAAGAATAACTCAAGTTGGAAGTGGACACATGAAGAGAGAATCGAAGCCACCAAAAAACTTTTCAATTTTTTGCTATATATTCGAGCAAAGAATATAATCCAAGAATTTTGGGAAAAGAATCTCAAAAAATTGACAACACACATTATATTATAGTAAATAATTATTATATATTATAGTAATATGCATGTTCAAGAATAAAACTTTTATATAATATAGTTTAATCTTGGACGGCTAGTTTTGTGTCCACGTGTCTAGAGAACTTCTTATAGTATGAATTAATGACTAATTATGGATAATCATTACTCTTATTAATTATTTTAACATGCGCACGCAATATTTGATATGTGACTATAAAGAACATATAAACTTCCTCCGAATCCATTCATGAAACTACATTGATTATATTATTATTATTATTATTATTTTATATAATACTCCATTTGTTTACTTTTATTTATCTAGTTTAAATTTTACACGCCTCACTAGAAACAATAATTAACATAATTAAGTATTTTACCATAATACCATATTAATTCATTTTCAGTCTTAGATATAATGTTAAAATGAAAAAAAAAAAATCTTTTTTCTTGATATGCAAAAATTGACAAGTAAAAGTGAAAATGTATTTTTAATATAATAAATAAATAAAGATGAACATGGGAGTATAAAATAATTCTTTTTAAAAAGTGATAAAAAAATTAATGCTAGTCAAATTCAAACACACGAACACTATCTTATTTGAGGTGTCTGAACCACTATATATGCTGTAACATCCATATTGCATTAAGAGTGTCCAAAATATATTATTCAATTACTTTGTGTATTATTTTACTTATATATATGATATTTTTTTCAGTAATTGGACACCCTAACAATCACGTAGCTTCGCCCTGAACTTATAAAGATATCTAATTATATAAGTACTAAAAAAATTAATAAATCCTAATTAGTTATATGGAAAGTGCATGTAGGTATATATTTTTAGGTGTTTCAAATAAGCTTTTTCCACCAAAAAGATTCTATTCAAAAAGTGCAAGACCATATAGAATATATGTACTATCTTCCAACTTGCTCAAAGTTGATTTGTAGAATGAAACAGTATCTTTTTATTTTTATTTTTTATGATTAAAATTCTCATCTTTTTTAGCTATATATTAATATTCTCTTCTTTATTATTTATTAATTAAAATTCTCTTCTTTTATTTATTTATTTATTTTATTTATTAAAATTCTCTTTAGTAGAGCTGTAGTCCAGTTCTTGGAGCATCTAAATAAAGCACACCATCTTTTGAATCTTTACAATTTAGACAGAGAACTCCACTTTCATTTTTAGATGTTCCATTTTTTTTTCTTTTATAAATAGTGTAGCCATGAAAACCCTATATTTCCAAGCAAGCTCTTAAAAAAAAATAAAAATTAACAAGTTTTTTCTTGCTATTTTGTTTCTTCCTTCATCTCTTCTAGCATCAAATTTTGTAACCATCGGATCGATGTTTAAATTCTGTTGAACTTAAGATCCGATGGTATACTAAAGAGTACCTCCATATTTACCCCTATATTTCGACAACTTTAAATATATACCAGAATATCAAGTATAGCTCATAACAATCTATTTGTTGAACTTTTATGCCAACCAAATCAAATTAGGAAAGAAACCCTAATTTTTGAAAAACTAACCCTACCACCTTTTTTACTCATATTTCATCATACTGCTAGTCGTTGTAAATGGCTGACAAGGTACAACGAATGTCATCAGAGCACGGGGTGATGATTTTCAGCAAGAGTACATGTTGTTTATGCTACGCGGTCACTATACTATTTCGAGATCTTGGTGTTGATCCATATGTGCATGAACTTGATCATGATTCTGATGGAAAAGATATGGAAAAAGCTCTTATGAGGATGGGTTGTAATGCCTCAGTTCCAGCAGTTTTTATAGGGGGAAAATTAGTTGGATCAACAAATGAAGTTATGTCACTTCATCTCAAAGGATCCCTAATTCAACTCCTCAAGCCATATCTACCTGATTAAAATAAAATAAATTGAGAATTGGAGAGTGAAATTATTCGCCTTTAAAGGGAAATAAGAAAAAGGAAGTACTTTATGAATTAGGAGGATATATAATATTAAAAAGAA